AAGATATTTATAGAGGAGAACTCTCTGCTGATACTTCTGTTGTGTAATTGTAATAAAGGAATTTATGAAAATTGTATTTGCTGACAAACAAAATGTGCCACCAGAAGTGCAAGAATTGTTGGAGGTATGTTTGAGCTACGAAGGAATTGCATTACTTTGTGTAAGCACGAAAACCTGGTAAATTTCTTTATCTGCACAATATATTCCCTTATTTTGATAGTAATTACAAGCAGATGTATCAATGAGACACTCCTTTAGATCTGGATTTGTAAGAACAAAAGTTATTATCCAAGCCAATTACTCTTTTACCCACATGGCTGCACAGATACAGAAAGTTCAATTTGCACCTCATCAGTGATTTTGTGGTATTTATTTTATTGCTATAACACTACTGTACGGAAAGGAAACTGCTTGTGCTATTAAACAAGAATTGGGAAAATCTGAGTATCTTCTCAATTAAAACAGGAGATGGTTCACAATGCAAATTCCCCAGTCAGGCAGTGCAGCGATCAGCACCGGAGCGGCAGATTCCACCCAGTGTAACAAGAATGGAAACGCTTAATCTAAAAAGCCAAACTCAAACAAAATAACAATAACACACCAATAAAGGTCACTGCATAGGCTGGCAACATATGTGTATGGCAATGGGCAATCCTACAGCTGCAGGGTTATCACGGGTCCTTCTGTCTACCTTGCCCAGTGCCTGATATTTAAGCTGCCTTGAGCCATCTTCGTGTTTTGTGAAACAGAGGAGAGCAGCAGTGCAAAGCACGTAGTGATGCTGATACCATGCTCTGTGAGAATGAGAACTACTGTGCTCCGTTATTAGCACGGTGCACACAGCAATATACAGAACAAGCTGGTGTGATCTGTACAGCTAAGGATTCACACCCGCTTATACTTCAAATCAGAAAACATCTCAGAGCTGAGGGCATTTTGTTGTGCGAAGCCACCAGGGCAAACTCAGTTCTGTTTTGCAGTTACAAGCAGTGCATGGTTTCAAATAGAGTCTAGCTTCCTAATGAACGACTTACATTACGTTCATCTTTGAAACAACATATATTGCCAGTAACTGCACCACTTTTCAAGTCTATCAGTGGCTCTTCCATATTCTAGAGCCTTCTAGAAACAGCGCTTACTGACATCTTTAATCCTATTAGAGATGAGAGAATATTCACTTGGAGTCTTTATAACTACTGCAGAAGGAAGACACCTTTTATGGTTCTCAGGCATCAACATCATCGCAACAAACCAAGCACATAGTGAGCAAAAAAAAGGAGGGACAGTGCTTCACAACTCCCCTGTGAGCCAGGTTCACCCAGCCCCATCCTGCTGCTGCTATCACTCAGAAATACCATCCTTGTGACTAAGCAATAACTTTAAGCCCATCCTGACACCTGTGGGCAAGCTATTTCACTCACAACAAGTATTCCATATGAAAATTGCATCTGTGCTCATGTGACTCCAACACTATTTTATCCTAACTGCTACAAACACAACCTGAGCTCCATTTCTACTCTCACACGACCTGCTGCAGATTGCAAAGCACAAAAACATCACTGTGTGAATTATTCATTTCTCTCAGAACCTGCAAGAGTCGAGAAGTTGATTTCTTCAAGCCTACATAACCAGAAATACTGCCTGCAAATGGAAAACTATTTGTTCACAGAGCTTTTATTCTGAGTGGAAAAAACACAAAAGTGCACTTAAATAAAACCAAAAAATGTTCATAGTTGCCAGTGAGGCAGAGACAGGAAGTGAGGAACTGCAGGTGGTAATTTCCCAGCTGGATTTCACAACTATTTGATAATAAAAGCTTTTTATGTTGGCATGACGGGCATGTGGAACAGCTGGCAGAACAGCACTGTTTGCCCCTTTCCTCATCATGGGAAATGAGGGGTAGCTCGTGTGTCACTGGGTGTGCATCTCTAAGCAGATGAAAAGAGAAAGTCAGAGCAGCATACAGCATGAGCTCCCCTGTAATTTAAGCTCACTGGTGCACACAGAGAGTTATAAAACCACTGATAATGGGGAGCGTTCAGAGTAGCTGGACTCTGCTGATGTGTTTCGAAAGTAAATGTGTTCCTACAGGACAAGGTTGGGATATTGGCCAACTGCACTCTGCTCTCAAAACACCACCAAGCACCATTCTTCTCCATTCGAAACTGAGAAAGCCAGGAGTACATCAGTCAGCAGACATCAAAGTTCATCTTCCTTGTCAATTACAAATGAAAATATTTTCAAAACGGTAACAGCAACATCTTACACAAAGATATAAAACGGATAGAAAAAGATTTCCAACTTTTTCAATACAATCTCACAGAATTTCATTTCTATGGTTCTACTGAGTAAAGAAACTTGAGCAAGTTAAATAAAACCCGGAGCTCTCACTGCACTTTTTCATCACCTCAAGAGTAAGTAATATTAAAACATTACTTCATGGCGAGACTTCTTTTATAAAGAACAGGAGAGCCAGGCTGCTCATTCTGGCCATACAACTCCATGTCACTCCTGGTACAACAGAACGCCTCTCCTTAAAGCTCCCACTTACCAAACTTCCCTTGAATTTAAATTGTAATGACCCAAAGTTGTGACAATGGGTATTTTTTACTCAATTAATTACATACGTTTTTAAAATGTGTTTGAGGAAACTACCAGAAAACTCATCTGACAAAACTCAGATCTTGAAATAAAAAGTACTTCAGATACAAACATTTTCAGAAGGCTTTAAATTAGTTACAAGGATTACAGTTTCGAAAGACAGTGAAGTGTTGGACACTTCAAGGAGAAAACCTGAACTTAACACAGAGGTGACTGCCCTGTATAAGAAAGAAAACTGTTCCCACAGCTCTGCATATCTCTTACACAAAGCCAAACCAGAGAACCAGTTTTAGTCTCACATAACACAAACTCACGCTATTCCAGGATACAATCCCTTTTATTTCAAAGGCACTGCTTGCAAAAGTGCAGCTATGCATATGGTATTTGCTGGACTGGGACCTTACAACAGAATGAACATCTGGTTTCAGGATCCTTTATCAGCATACATGGGAAATGGATGCACCACAGTGATACCAAAGTCCTTCCTAACCTGGATTTTAGCCAGCAGGGAAAAGCAGGGAGAAGGCTCCTGCCCCTCAGCTCCCTCATTTACTGAGGGTCTGCAACAATTCAGTCACCAGATGCTGTGTTATCAAACCCTGAACTCACGTGGAGCCAGAACAAAAAGGCCATAGGATCAACCAGTACCTACGAGATGCCAGTGCACCCATTTAGTGCAGTCTGGGAAACAAGTGAGCTGTGATTTCAGACCTGTGAGCCTGGAGAAAGGCGCAGCGCTGCTCTGCTGCATGCCTGGGCAGTCATGGGCTCAACGGGCACCGGCGGTAAAACCAGCTGGTTCTCAGAAGCACCACATTGAAGGCACCTAGTTAGAAAGAAGAAACAGTGAGGTTTGTAAAACCTACCTTGATGTCACCTATGAAATGCATGCTGCTCCCATCTGGTTGCGTCTAAAAGACTGCATTCTTGTTTAAACTTGTTAAGCAAAAAATCACAAGTGCTAGCAGTAGGTTGCTGTAAGACAGCATTAACTTTTGTATTGATTTAACTTCTACAAAATATAACTCAAATAGTAAATGACCCAAAATAACCTAACTCGGGCCAACCTTCCCATCTGCTTCACAAGATTCTGATGCTGCAGTTTTTCTGTCTTGCTGCCTTTGTTTGTCTCTGCCACGAAGCAAATGATGTCTCACTTACCATTCAGGGGGCTGTTTGGAACGAATTTCTTCATTGTCAGTAGCAGAAATAGTTAGCACTTCTCTGCTTACAGCACTTAAATAGCTTTCAGCGTGTTTCTGCCAGAAGAGAAAAAGGTTTGGACAATTATAAAAGTAGGAGGGATGCATTAACTTAGCAAACTAGATCCTCCCTTGACCAAAAAGTTTTAGGCTTTGTGCTTCTGTTGGACTCAATTAGATTTTGGTCAAAGCCAAGAAATGCAAAAGCAATCAATTCTGAGCACACCAACAAAGGGAAGCCATGGCACTGAACCACAGTGTGTGATCAGTCCTAGCATTCACTGGTCACAGAGGGAACTCCAGGACAGCCACACATGGCCGTGGCTCTGATCGCTGACCTCAAAGACGAGCCGTCCTCTGGATCTGCTCTACATTACTTACTCTCAGCCCAAACTCAGTTCTTTCAATTGCTGTTTCCAGGTCGCTGATATCCTCAGCTTCCACGTTTCCTTTCAAGCTGATGTTTTTCACTTTGTCTTTAAGCTTGTGCAGATCTTCTTGAACCTAAGAAGCAAGTCATGGCAGAGGTCATTCCCATCCCCAAGCCCGTGCGGTTACACAGCAGCGTTCAACCCAAACCAACGCCTCCTGAACACAGCACAGAAATACACACAGCCTCCCTTAATTCTGCGCTTTTACAAGTGAGAGAGAAACACAACGCCAGTACATTTAAAGCCATTGATCAGGAAGAAACCTGGGGGGGAACAAAAACATCATTGAAACAACGAATCACTGTCAGTAACCATCAGGACGGTGGTGGGTCAAAGTACCCGCAGCAACATGGCACGGCACGGCACGGCACGGCACGGCACGGCACGGCACGGCACGGCACTACACAGCACAGCATGGCACTGCACTACACGGCACGGCACGGCACGGCACCCACCCGCAGCAGCAGCGCGGCTCCCGCCCGCTCTCCCTGCCCCGCAGTGCCGGCCATGCCCGCCGCCCGCTCCTATGGCAACGCGACGCGCGGTCCGGGCCGCACCACCAGCCTCACCGCGGGGGGAGGGCAGAGAGAAGCGGCCAGGTCGGTCGGTCGGTCAGTCGGTCCATCCCGAGCGCGGCCCCACTCTCCCTCCCCCGGCGACTCTCCGCTCTCCGCTCCCCCCGCAGCAGCTTTCGGCCGGCGTTTCCCGCTCAATCCCCGCCCGCTCCACGCGGTGGTAGCGGCGGGCGGAAGGGGCGCGGCGGGCGGCGGGCGCCATGGCGGCGGCGGGGCCGTACGCGCTGCTGAGCAGCTGTGATGGCGGCTTCCCGGCGGAGGAGCTCGTCAGGCGTGAGTGGGCGGCGGGCGGCGGGCGGCCGCGGGTGTGTGCTCGCTGCGAGCCCTCGCGGGGTTTCCTCTGTAAAGGCTTTACGCGGGCGGCGGGAGGCGTGGGTCGGCTGACGGTGGTGTTGAGCGCCGGTAACATCCCGCTACTGGCAGGAGGGAAAACGGGAGCAGGAAGGTCCTGAGGGCCGCGCTGCAGCCCTTTGTGCGTCGGTACGGAGCTCCGCCCTGCGCTCCTGGGACGCGGCTTCCTTTCTTACAGCTCGAGAAAGTAAAATCTGATAGCGAGAACTTGAAAGTTCAGCTGGGGCTAAAATGGGAGAGATGGCGGGAAGAAGCTGTTTGGATCTCGGTGGTTTTGCTGTGATGGCTTTTTAGGGAACTGCGATTAGTCGTGGTAAGATGGGCGGTTCAGCTGCTTGAAATGAGAGGCCATCCAGAGAGCCGGGGCTGTGGGCACAGGTGAACCTCACGAGGTTCATCAAATTCAAACACGAGGTTTTGCACCTGGGTTGTAGCAACCGTCAGTCTCAGTATAACTGGGGGGTGAACAGAGCACGGCCCTGCACAGAGGGCTTGGCAGTGCTGTTGGGTGGCAGCTGGGGTGAGCCAGCAGTGTGCCCTCAGCCCAAACAGCCAACTGTGCTCTGCGCTGCAGCACAGACAGCACGGCCTGCAGGTCGGGGACGTTTCATTTCTGTGATCCTGTCCCTCTGCGCTGTGAGGTCTCACTTGGAGTTCTGCATCCAGGTGTGGAGTCCTCGGTACAGGTGAGATATGGACCTGCTGGAGCACATCCAGACAAGGGCCACAGAAATGATCTGAGGGGTTGAATGCCTCCTTATGAGGACAGGCTGAGAGGGGGGAGCTGTGCAGCACAGAGAAGGGAAGGCACTGGGGGGCCTGGCAGCAGCCTCTCCATAAGCTGATCTAGCTGTAGGTGTCCCTGTTCTTTGGACTAGTTGGACTAAGTGACCTTTAAGGGTCCCTTCCCCCTCTACCAACTTGTCCATTCCATCTCATTAAGCCACGTTTGCAAACAAGAGTGGCAACGTGTCTACAGTCAGAGATTACTCTATCGAAGAGCTAGGCTGATATGATAGACTGATAAGAATTGTAAAATTTTATTCTTGATTGCTTGTTTGTAAGGAAGCTGTAAGCATAGTGAAAAGAACTGTTCACAGTTCCTATAGGCTTTTTTTTTATTTCTTGTAGTGAAATTAAGTTGGTGAAAAAGGAAGGTAAGCCAAAAGCTTGATGGAAATACCATCTGCTCTGAGAAAGTCTAAAAGCTTAACTTCCATCAGGTTTTATCTTTTCTCCAAGTTGTACTCATTTAGGAATGCCTGAGCTTGCACCATTTTCTGCTTTTAAAACAGTCTCGTGAATCCTCTTTGCAGCCTCTTGTTGAGTTGCTTTTAGAGATGTTCTTAATGCTTCTGAAATAAAGCATAGTGGAAAGAAACAACGTGAAGAACCTAAAATGCCTGCTTTGTGTAGCAGGTGTTTCAGAGCCAGGAACATAAGCAAACAACAAAACTTGTAAGGACTTGTAGATGAGGATCAGGTGGCAGCGGCTGGCTGCAACTTATTGAGAGCTGCTGGTGAGTTGGGACAAAATGCTGCTGCAGTTCCCAGCACGTGTGCTGCTACAGCGTGCAACCAGAAACAGCAGCTTGAAGGCATTGCTTGGTAGTGGCTCAGCTTGGTGCTGAGGACAGGAGCCTTACATTAACACATCTGAAGCAATATGATGTTTGATATGCCGTAATTATGTTTAAATATGCTCTTAAATACTATATTGCATGGTAGATCCACGTAGTGGCTGTGGGTTTGGAATCTATAGTACAAAACAAAGAATTTACCTCTTATCACTGCTCTCACCACCATGTTCCTGGATCTCCGTGGTAGGTACTTGCTGTGGGCAGACCTGTTTTATACATACAGAGCAGCTGCTTGGAGGCTTCTCTGCTAGGAGTCAGCAAAACCTGCAATCTGCTGCTGCTTCCCAGTTTAATTACAAGGCTCTTTACAGGATGCTTATTTGAGTTCTCTTTAGTTGGTAGGAGCATTTCTTACGTTGTGTTCCACCAGGTGGCTCTCAAGGCACAGAATGGGAGCAATGTGGTGCTGGCACACCACATCCAGCTGGCAGGATGGGGAGCACTTGGCCACAGTAGAAAACTGGATTGTGCTCCTGCGTGCGTTCAATCCAAAGCAAGCTAAGAAGTGCGATCAGTATTAAATCTCTTTGGCAAGGGATGAAAAGAGAAATTGCAATGATTCTGAAAAAAACAAAAAGACTAATCCAGGGGCCTTAAGCACAAAATATTAGAAGTACTTAATGTCAGTTGGTTATTAGAGCCTGGGGAACACTGCAGCAAGATGTGAGATGATCTACGTCTGCTTCTTTGTCTCAACTTCTCAGGAAGGTTGTTTCTTACCTCTCATGGTCCTTTTGAAAAAGGAGTTGATAAGCTGGGTTTTACAGTTCTGCATTGTCCTATTCCTTGTAAATTAAACCACTGCTCAGAAGACCAAGTCTGTATGCAAGCCCTTGAAATGAGAAGTGTGAGTCCAGAGCCTGGAGTGACTCACCCTGCCCAGGGAAGCACCTGCTGCTCCAAAGAGCTTTAAAGCACGAGCAGGGCACACAGCTGTGCTCTGCCTTAATTAGCATTCAGCAGTTACTGATGAGATGGTGGGAGTTTCAATAAGTAATTTTGGTAAAATGTCCAGCATCAGTTGTTCAAGATCCTCTACAAAATGCTCAGCTTTAGATCATGGCTTTAATGATGCTAAGCCACGCTCTTCTGTAGTGCAAACTTTTCCATGCATGTTTTTAGTTCCTTATTACTGATGCATTTGGAGTCTGCCTGCATTCCTGTTGTCTGAGGAAGCTGTTTGTGCTCTATGGAGGAGTGAGGAGATGGGGAAGCCCCGTGGGCCTGCCTGCACTGCTGTCTGTGGCTGAGGTGGTTTTCCAGACCCTTTGGATGGCAAAACACTGATGCTTGCGATGGCTGGAAAGCCTGAAATGAAAAAGGAGTAACTCAGCTGAGATAAGTTTGACAAGTCACCTCCCTTTGCCGTATTTGTTTTGTGGAAGTTCATTCTGTATCCAAATAAAACATAATGGAGCTTGTTCTGATGAATGTTCTCTAAAATTAGATAGGAAACTATTCTGGCTGGATTTGCTTTTTTCCATTGAAACACAAGCTGTGTTGGGAAGAAACTCCTGGAATCCCAACGTGGCAAATATGATTTTAGGATTCATTCTGATGTGAATTGTGTCCCTGTGAACTCAGCCTGGGCTGCAAGGTGTAGGATTTGGCAGGCTCCAAAGCCCCCACAGTAACAAGTCTAAACCTGCAGGAGGAGAGGAGAAGTCCCCCCACAACCCCCAGCCTGCAATTACCTTCCTGCCACAAGCCCTCAGGCAGTGCTGCAGTAACTGGTTCAGCCCTGTGTGCTGTCCCAGCCCCAGAGAGCTGGATGAAGTCCTTGCAGGGAGCTCCTGCACCCTTGGAGCTCAGCGTGCACTGTCCATTTTCACTGGCAACGTCTTCCCTTGGGGTTGGCAAAATCCCTTTGGGTACAGGGCAGCAGGCAGAGGCACAGTGAGATGGATGAAGAGTGCTTCCAATGCAGGACAGCAGCACGTGATGGGAAGTGGGGATGTCCTACTTCTTCAGGCAGTGCTTTGAGGCCTAAGTTTGCCTACAAGCCCTTGTACAAGAAAAAAAAAAATCACTTACAAAATTGGCGTAGAAATTCTTTCACACCAGTTTTTGATGTCTTTTGGAAAATGTTCTCTTTCTGTAATCTTACTTTTGCACACACCCTTTCCCAAAGTTTTACTGCTGATTTTCCAACTGTCAGCAATTCCATGGCAACAAACCATCGGAAACGTGGTTGTGCCTGAGGCATCGACCAGGAGGGACTGGTACAGCTAGGATCCTCCATTCTCCTATGGAAATAAGCAGATCAGAGTAAGCAAGCCCTTTTTTTTTCCTGCTAACCCACTGCTCTTCAGCTGGCAAACTTGTGAGTTTCAGCTGAGTTGAGCAGGAGCTGCCTCCATTGGCCTGAACACCCACTGATGGTGAGCTCCTGGCCTAGCAGCAATTGGCACATAGGAGGTATACAGTCCTGTATACCACAGCTACCAAACTGCATTATGCAGAGCATGGCACTTAATTAGCTGGTGTTTCATAGCAGGAACTTGACAAAGTGTTTCTATTGTACTAGAGCATCACATTAAATCTGTGCACTGTGTAAGGTGCCATGCCATCACGTGCCACCAAGCTGCTGTGTGCTGCTTAAGAGTGAATAAAGAAGTTGCAGAACAGCAGAATTCTTTCAACATTACTGATTTGCATTAGCTGTTCTGAAAGTCTCTTCTGTATTTGTCAGTGAACATAAGTTTACAAGCTTGTGCCCCAGAAATACAAAGTTCAGAGTCAAGATCTGCTTGGTGTTAACTCAGCAGTGTTGTCCCCGCCCCCAGGTGCTGCCTTGTCCAAGAACAGAATGCTGATTGCAGCCTAGTTGCTTCAAAAATTTATCATCCAGATTAAAAAAAAGCTGAACTTCCTTACACTAGAAAAAAGCCAATGGGGAAACTTGGGTTTTTCTGTAAGAAGCCTGGACAGGTTTCCTCCAAGATTTGTCACACCAAGATCACATTTCCCCTCCGATTCCCCACTTCATGCTCCTCCCTGCCACAAATCCACCTGGTTTACAGCACTCCTTTGTGCTGTCCTGTGTGCCAGAGCTCAGGCACTGCTTAACCCGCCCAGGCTCCACAGTTAGCTGCCAAAATAATAATAATAATAATAATAATAATAATGAATCTACCTGTGGCAGCCCTGGCAGTGAGCTTTCCTGCCTTTAGCTGCTAAGACACAGATCAGTTCAGTCTATCTGGGGAGCAGCATGCACTGGCATCTTCAGGAATTGTCTCAGTACCTTTAAGGTACAACCTTTAAAATCTCTGAAAACATATTTTTTTTTTAATTATTATTTTTTAACTCCTCTGCTCCCCAGCTGACTCAAGTGATCATATGATTCACTTATAAGATATCCATGACTGTTTATCTGGAACAAGATGTTCTGCCCTTTCCAGCAAGGTACGGCTGGGTTGCTCTGCTGCTCCCTCTAATTCAGCCCCACCAGGTGGCCGTCACACTGTGAGTGTTCTGCAAAGGTTGCTGCCAGCACACGAGGGGCAGGCAGTGCAGAGATTGCATTATCCAAGCACTGCCCTGGATTTTAATTGTTGAACTCCTACCTGGAATTTAATGGGCATTACAACCGAATTCCAGTAACTTGCTTTATTTTCTCATTAGTTACCTTGAGATTCTGGTCACAGTCAAACAGGTTTTTTTACATCTGAATGAACACGCAAGGTTTGCTGGAATGAAGTGTAGTTATTTGCTCCATCCATCCTGCTTATAGGTAATAAGTTCAGGGCTAGCACTTCGAAACATGTTCCAGGGGAAAAAAAAACAACAGAACACCTTACTTTCAGAGCTTCTGTACCATATTTTTTTCTGAAAGCTAGAGTTTGTCTAAGACTTATAAATACTATAAAATAAGAAATTGAGTTTAATTTTTTTAATGAAAACAACTTATTTTGTTGCAACAGGTGAAGATGGCTCTGTATTGGCATTGTACCAAGCTTTTCCAGTTTAATTGTTATCTCAATGCTGGTTTGTATCATTTCTCTTATTCTATTTCTTTCACGCAGGCATCACAGGAAGAGAGGACCTCAGTGTGGGTGCTACTACAACTGGAGGAGTGAGCTTTTACCCCTGGACGATAGATAACAAGTATTACTCTGCAGACATTCACCTCTGTGTGGTGCCAAACACAGCTCTGGTCACAGGAGCCATCGCTGAATCTGTGCAGGCGTTCGTGGTGTACTTCGACAGCTCCACAGTAAGAGCTGTGCCCCGTGGTGCTTTATCTGGGTGATACAGTTGCCTTGCTGTAACTACAGTTAGTATTCTCTCAATCTTGTGACCTCTGTTCCTTTTGTTCTACTGATGGTCAGTAGATCAGAGGTCAGTTATTCCCACTACCAGTGGCAGCAGAAGCATTTCCTTCCCTTCTGCTGTTTTACTCCTGCTGGAAACAAGGCTTTTCAGGATGGAAATAGGCCACTAAGTTAGGCCAGTCCTCCTCCAGCCTGTGACCTCCAGCTTTGCTCTTAGCCAATGATGGTTCAGAAAGGCTGCTTGAAAACAGCCAAGAACGAGGAAGCCAATTCTAAGTCTTGGTGCTGTGGTGGTACCTGACATTGTTTCTACAAGGCTGGTGGCAGTGAAAGCAGTGCTTTAGCAGAAGCCTGAAAGATTGAGACAAAAACCAATCTAAATAAGGGAGGGTATTATCTACAGATGGGAGAGGATGCATGCCATGCATTCTGCAAAGTTACCTAGGGTAGCTCAGCACTGTCTCACATTAAACCAGGGCAGAATGTAGTTCATTAGCTGCCACAACATCAGCTTGAGAGTGGAAGCTGGAATAGCTGCACATTAACCCTGAGAGCTGCTAACAGTGAACAGCAGTGACTGACATGAAGCAAAAGTCTTTCCTAATGTAAATTAAGGTTGTGTAATGAACATTAAACATGAAGGGGAGGTCCAAGGAAGCAGGTTTAACTCACCTTTAAAGTAAATCAAGAGTCATAAGGTTGCTTTTTATAATCAGTTTCCTCATTCTACTGGAGTACAGCTATTGATTAAAAACAAATGTAAGAAATGAAGTATTTGAGGATGTATTCCAAAGAACTTATTTTTCCCTTGTAGAAATCTGGGCTGGATAGTGTCTCTGAATGGCTTCCCCTGACAGAAGACTGGCTACCAGAAGTCATGATCCTGGTCTGTAACAGAGTATCAGAACATGGTATGTTACCTTGAGGCCCAAAACTGACTTGGGATCAGTAAGCTTGCAGCACCATCATTTCCTAAAATATCTGAGTGAGAACAGACTTCTTATTTGATTGAGAAGAGCCAGGTTGTGCTCACAACTAAAAAGTCTTAAGCTAGAAATAATTACAACTGGATCAGAATTTTACAAGCTTGCTTAAAATGAACTTTGCACATCTCATTCCTGGTATACCAGTGTGCAGGGCAACGTGACTTAAGGCAGCCTAGCACTTCTGTGGAAGTACCTACTGCAAAGCCATTTGATTGTGTCATTTTTTAAAAAATTAGAGCTCAATTTGAGGCTTTTGGAATCCAATTGGAAGTGGTTGGAGGACCCAAACATCTGCTACACATTTTCTCCCCCCCATTCTCCACACAGTCCAGAACAAGCAAACAGCTGATGAGGGAATAAAATTTAGCTGGAAGTTCAACTGCTGATGTTAATCTCAGGCATGTGTGCTTAGGAGACATTTTGTTTCCCAATTTTAGGTGTTAACAGACAGAAAGCTCAAGAATGGTGCATCAAGCATGGCTTCGAACTGGTGGAACTGAGCCCTGAGGAACTACCAGATGAAGATGGTAGGATTGCTACTTGTTTTAATTTCTATAATAAAAAGACACCAAAATATCTTCAAAATGATTGCAAGGGGCATTGTGTTGTTGCTGTGCTACATGGTAACAGCATGGAATGCTCCCAGCTGGTGAGGCTCACTCTCAGCTGTGCAAAGTCAGGAGGAAAAGGTGGTTATTTCCTCTAAGACATTCCACTGGTCTCCTCCCAGATACAGCTGCTGTTTATGTGGCACCTACATAAATACATCAGATCCCTTCTCAGACACTAATCCTAGGACTGGTTTGATACATAAAAAGCATTTGTGCTCCATTTTAAAATCAGTCTCAAAGCAGAGCCACAAAGATGCCCGAGGGAGGGAAATCTTTGTCCTTTTGAATAGCACTTAAACTACTGCTCATACCAAGAATAGACATTATTCGGTGATACCATGGGCTGAAAAGGGTTTGAGCACTGAATTGCATTCACTGTTACACAGGAAGTAAGCCAGTTTCAGAATCACTTGCCTGGCCACGTAATTACAACTTGAAAAAACCCATAAAACAGAGTCAGAAGTGTGATGTTCTGCTCTTGAAAAGTGACTGTGCACTTCCTGACAGCCTTATCAGCGTCGGCCTTATCTCATCTCCGTGATACACAAGTGTTTACATCTCATTTAAGCTCTGCAGTGGTAAGATAACCAATTCCATTGCCACACAGCAGTGGAATAATGCACTCACATTTTCTCCATTTCAAGTTCAACAAGAGCATGGCTATTTCAGTCTAACGTGTTTTGAAAGGAAACATTATAACATTAAGTTACTTTCCTGCTGAATGATTGTTGTAAAGAACAAGCTATTTACCACTGCAGTAATAAATACTGGGAATCACAACTCAGGAAGTTAATCTTTGGATTGCTCAGATACATTCTCTGTCCTGGACTTTTAACCTGGTAGTTGGTTCGCTGTGACTCACGCATCAGAGGAAATACATTGTACTGAGTAACATATTTACCCTGTAAACATGCTGTATGAATTACAGAAGATAAAACAGATGTAGTAAACACTGAGGCAGTATCTGTGTAGGAATTAAGGCATTAATGGCAGCTCACTGCAAATGAACAGGAGCTCTTGCTATGACCTCACTGTCATGCGTGTACCGAGGACAGGAACTCTTAGCTGAGACTCTCAGTGATGACCAATATAAAACTAAACAGCACTATCATAGAGGACAGTATTTGATCTAAGGGGTTAGACAGCTTAAAATTAATATCTAGAGGCAGTTTCAGATCCCACACCTGTCCCTGAGTCACCCTGGACAGGTTTGATTTTTAAGCAATCACATTTTCCTCTCCAAAGGGCTTTTCTTCCTAATTGCTTTGTGAGACTTGCACAAACGTGGGAAGCTGACTAAGCTGAGGAAATGGGAAAGCTGACTTTATGTAAAACAGTGTCAGAGCTATTCACTGAGTAAGCTGAAGTCCAAATAATGCCTTCCCCAGTCTTTGAAGTCACCATAAATTTTCAGGATTACTGGAATGCTTTTAATTAGGTGTTATGAAGATAGCTTTAGTACAATCATTGTCTTTTTTATGAAGCAGTGCCCCTTTCCCAATGTTTATCTGAAGTTCTTCACTTTCTGAAGGAAGGAAAAGCAACTCTAGCATCTGTTTATGATATACAGCATTCCAAAAGATCTTGGGGGTAAAAGAGTTCCTTTGGCAGTGGCTTAAAGTCATTTATTATTATTTAAATTTCTGGTGTTATTTATCATATAGGCCCAATGCTAAATACTTAAAACTCCACCTAGAATCTAGATCTTTCTACAACAGGATGAGTGCTCACACTTTATAAAAAGCCCAGACAAAGAGGTGTGGCATCAGTCTAAATTTGTTTGGCCTTTTGTGAAGCAAAGGCAAGAAATACATCCTTCCTAATCAGAGAAGTCATTTGCTTCCATTCCTGTCCAACAGCACAGACATTCAGCCACGCTTCACCTTACGCTCAAGCACGTGATGGTTTTTGGTCTTACTCTTAGGACTCAGATGTCTTCCTGTTTTTATTTAGATGACTTCCCCGAGTCCACAGGAGTGAAACGAATTGTGCAGGCCTTGAATGCCAACGTTTGGTCAAATGTGGTCATGAAGAATGGTATGTAATGCACAACCCTCCCTGCATGAATTCTGAAGGCTGTGGACCCCAGAGGGCTCAGTATTTTTAGCAGAGCTTTAAATGAAGCACCTAAATGGCACCACATCAGTACACAGGGAACTAAAGTGCTCTTCCCATATTTACATGAATAGGAGGCTGCTCAGTTACCACTTTTATTGTCCCTGTGTACACAGAGAAACTTGGAGGCAGTGGTGAAGTTGTAATCCCATTTCAGTATTTGTTTCCTCTAGATTTGCTCTCAAATGTCTGTTGAAGGATTTAAACACATGAAGAGCACTGCAGGAAGGTCTGTTTTCCCTACAGAAAACCCCACTGCAATAAACTGCAGAACTTTGTGAAAATAGCACAGCAGCCAGACAGCCTTACTTCCTGTTATAAGGCAGGGCCACAGTTTTGGAAAAATCACTTAAGGATTGATGTATTAGGAAAGGAAATGCTGTGGCTAGCCCAGATTTAATATAAGCATAGATACTTCTATTTTCTTGAAAGCTTTCTATTACCTCTCTAATTATACAATCTGTAGCAGGAAATGTAGGAAGATGAAACTCTTTTGCAGTGCTTGGCCTTATACTTTTTCTTTCAAACTCATCTCACTGCCACCCTTCTGAGGTCTGCCTGCTCCCTTGGGTACAGTTTTCCACTGCTGTGGTTTCTTCCTTCCTATATCTTTCAACAGTGCGATGATTTTGAGTGCTGAGAGGTTTTCATTAGTTCCTGTAACTGCAAGACAGTTACTGGGATTCAGAGCAACCAAGAGCTGCTAAACTTGGGCCTCCTCAGTATTTCTCATTTTATGAGAAAATGAGGCTAAGATTGGTTCCAGTTTAATAGAACTGTTGTAGAGAGGCGTTCATTTGAGATGGCATGAAGTTAGTCTAGCTAGTACAAGAATGGTTTTCTTCATATTCAACAGATGTCACGTTACAGAAGAGCAGAATTTAGTCACACGTTGAGGGAAATTCCTGCACATCAGTGGTGCCTTCTGTAAAGGCTGAGCTGTGAAAATCAGAGCTTTTATCTCCACTGTACAGAAAGCACACAGTGCTGATATATGGCACTGCAAACCCCTCAGGAAGTGAGCTAAATTTGGAAGCTGTTGCAACCGATCTGTGATTTCAAAGGGAAATGATTGAGCTCATTTTTGCTCAAAATAAAACTTTTTACAACCTGTAATATATCTTTTGTTTGCAGCTTCCTCCTGCTCCTGGAAGCTGGCCACTATGTAAATAAGAGCTCAGCTTTTCTGCTGAGTTACCTCTAACTGCTCTCTATTTAGAATCGTGCTTCACCCGAAATCTTTTCATACAAAACTGAAGATGTTTTTAGTAGCAATGGTTTGTTAGCACTGTTGAATGTCACCATCCAGAAAGCCAACCTTACAGCATTGCCTTCCTTGAGGTGCTTCTGTGAGACTTTAATAGGCTGAACAGAAGTGACTTCTTTAAACTATGAACATTAAAGCCATATCATCTTAAAGCAGGCTACCTAAACCTGCACACAGTTTTCCCAAAGTTGTGAAGCTGTGCATGGCTGCACACTTACTAACAAAGGTCTCGACCTTCTCAGGTTTTCTCTCCCCATTAAGTATGTTCTTGCTTATACTGATTCATAAGGCATTAATTACAATTAACTGTAAACACTTTTGCATCATGTAATAAATAGTACATACTTGGTGGGTGCAAAAAGCAGTATGGTCTCTACTAAAACAAAAACCAGCAGCCTTACCTGAAAGGCTCTGAAGACTGTTTGCTTTTTGGTGGGTATGCAGTCGTCTGTTCTCCAGTTCCTGGAGCTCTCTTCCACCTGAGAAGAAGGTCACTTTCTTATGCAGAAGAACATAAGCATCTCTTCAATTCACAGTTCTCCCACTCCTGAAACCCAAAAGCTACTGTGCTGTTCTATCCTTAGATGTCCCTACAAGAGGAAATCTGGTTGACTACAGCAAAAAGAACAGAAACAATTTACTGTCTTCTGAGAGGGGTTGCTTGGCTGCTTTCCTGCTTAAATACATGCTGCAGAGATCCCAAGTGAAGCCAGTTACCCAGGGAGGGGCCAGTCATTAGCCTGGCGTCCTTCACAAAGAATTAGCCTGGTTCAGTGGGGCCATGTGAACTTAATTGCTTAAACAATTCTGGAGTTTCAACCTTTGCATTCTGTTTTTTGGTGTCAGTCATGGTAGCTTCAGACAGGCTATGGAAGAATGTTAGATAAGGACAGAGGAAAACGTTGTGCTGCAAAAGAAGCAATGTGGATTTCTGAGCCCTGCTCAGAGCACAGCTCAATGGGGCTTTGCCATATTGATGGCACCTGTGAACCCACATAGCCTGCATCAGAACGGAGCCATCCACTATTACAATAATTTGAGTGAGATCATTTTTGGCTTTGATTCTGTAAGAACGCTCTGTAAGACGTCACCCGCTTCCTGAATGGCACCCAGAAGTTGAAATAACTTCTACATCCATTAAAAGAAGTTTATGGGAAGGTTTCTTTCAAGGGTGTGACTGGAACCAAGCGCTGCCACCTCCCTGACCACGGATCCAGAAACCAACAGCTGCGCCCTGCAGATCCTTTGTAGATGCTGGTATTTTTCAGTTAGACAATTTTGTAGTTACACAGGCTGAGGTTACCTGTGGCTGTGGTGGGGGTGGACTGCAGTCACTTACCTGGATGGGATGAACTCAAATTGTAGATAGGAGAGGGGTACGTGATTAGGTCACCAAATCCACCCCTCTGCCAATGTGGGAATGCTCTCTCCCAAGCACATTCTGGGCTGCAGAGGCCAATCTGACTTCAGATGACTCAGAAATTGGCTGAAGATCGATCTTACTTTTTCCTATAAGACAACTCTTTGCTCAGCTTGCTGAAACCTTGGGAAGCTGCTTTGTTTAGGGTTGCAGATCCCAACCTTTTATCACTGAATTGCCTGTTAATGGAGCTGGCAGACTTACGGGCTTTCGTATTTCTTGCAACTGAACGTTTCAAGGCAATTCGTTCGGCTAGACTGATTCACTTCTCCCCAGACCTCTGGCAAGTGATCTGTAAGGGCAGTAAAGCTGTACAGCACGGCGCCAATTGAAACAAATACCTGCAGGGAGGGAGGGGGGCAGGGGGAGAGGAGGGCTGGCACAGGACACGTGTTAGCCAAAGTGCACAGCGTAGATTATTGAGCAGGAAATGAGGTCTCAGTAATTCTCCAACTGAGACGTGTTTACACGTATTCTCGACAGCTGATGGCTTCAGTTACACATTCAGCTCTTTAAGATGCTGTGTAAATGGCAAGAAAATTTGGCCTGCGTCTAAAAATTACATCATCTCAACATTTGAATCTAGAGCTTAGTCATTACTGTAATATTAATTCAGAGCACATTAAAAAAAAAGAAGTAACACTGATCTTTCTTCTGGCACAGGCCATTGCTTGCTGGCTGTTTGCAGTGCAATAACTTGACGCTGTTTCTTTTTTAGTTGACTAAAATGCTGATATTTTCAGGACAATCTCCTGAGCCCTGATGTAACTGCAGATATTTGCTGTTCGAGGCAAAGCCAGAAGAAAACACAGCTTAGCAAAACCCACTAACTACACATATTGCACGTACACCTATTGCATGTACACCCATTGCACCTCCACCTATTGCATGTCCGTTTTTGTTTGAAGGTAACGTTCTAGAAATAGAGATTAATTTAGAAATGCTGTGCTGTATTGGTGTGTCTTCCCTAAGAAATTGCCTGTGTCAGTTGCAGCTGTTTGCTATAGTGTTCCATCTTCTGTCACACTAACAGCTGTGTTGTTTCCAGACAGGACCCAGGGCTTTGGCCTCCTCAGCACGTTAGCAGGTGCGAACTGCAGCCTTGGGTCAGAAGAGAACCAAGATACAGAAGTAAACAGTAATTCCTATTTCTTGTTCTTTGCTCGTTCTGTGTCCCACGTGGCTCTCCTCTGTGTCACACTTGGCGTAGTGCTGGGGGGGTCTTTCATCCTTTTCTACTCTCTCAAAAGCTACTGCACAAGCTGTCAGAATGGGTTTTCATGGAAGACTCTGATGGCTGAAAATTCATTCACTATTGTTCTTGAAAGCCATCCTGAGAGCTGTCCCAGGAGCTGCCACCTCACAGCTGGGGGCTCCCTGTCCTTCAGGACATCCCCCCACGTTGATGGGATGCCTGGTGCTGTGGTTTCTCCTTCAAATCCAAGAACAGTGTCTTGTGCAGAAAATATCACTTGTTAAAAAAGCAAATGAACCTATCCTAGCAAACAGTTGTGCCTGGCATTGCAGAAGTGCCTTTTCATCATACGAGTGGTGCAGGTTTTGCAGTAACAGTTCATGATAAAGAGTAAGATGTTCGTGTTAGAAAAAGGAAGCACTTGATCTGCTGCTGATGCTTTGCAGGGTGCATCACTGGATACTGTTAATATCTTTTTGTTTCCTGACAGTCCAATCCAGCAGCAGCAGACAAAGAACCCCATTTAGAGAACAGAGAGGATGCAGCTAGCACAAACGACCCACAGATGGACAGTGCTGCAGGTAAGCTTGTTCTCTGCTTGGCGGACGTGCTGGAGCAGGCACCTCAGGCTGGAACAGACCCTGAAAGCTTTCTCTCAGTGAAAAGACAGAGCCAGGAGAGGCCAATTGTGTAGCATCAGGGGTTCTCTGTGAGTAAGGGCCCAACTTCAGAAAAGATGGGGCCCCTGCAGGTAAGACCTGCCAGCAGTGCTGCCAGTTGGAAAGGTTCAGGTCTGCTTTTCTCAAGTCTCCTCACCAGTGTATTGTTTATATTCTGAAACACATTTATAAGAACAAATCTTTAAGCTTTCTGGGTGAGAGAAAAATCATTACGGTGTGACTCCCCACAGCCTCGTTCAGCAGGGTGAGTGCTGGGAGCTGCAGGTGTTCTGAACTTGAGGGCTTTGGATTATTGCAGCATGCCAGGAGGTGGGATTTCATATCACAGGTTGTGTGGGGAGGTCGTCCAAAGGTTGGAGGTTGTTAGTTGGGATCTAAACAGTGTCATTACTCTTTAATTGAGTCCAGGGCTGTTCCTGAACAGATGATTTTATAATAAGAAGTCCTAAGGGAACTAAAAATGAACTTAAATGAACACAAAAAACATTATTGCATTGTAATGTAACAAAATTCATTACCACTTTAATGGTACCATCAGTTGTCTATCTGAACCATCAGTAAATTAAATGAGAGGGCAACATGTTGAGAAGGTACTGTTTTTAACCTGAAGATTGCCACTAAGGCTATTATGCCTGCTGACAACAGAGTAACTTACCTAAACCAAATCTGTGTGCATTTGTTTTAGATCCTGTGTTAGATACAGATATTCAAGAGCTGGCCAGCCTGACCACGAGGGACGGTGACCTGGAGAACTTTGAGAGGCTGTTCTCAAAGTTGAAAGAAATGAAAGGTACTGAGCAGTGTCACTCAGTATTGCTCAAAGGCCTGGAACCCAACGTGGCTGTTGGGAAATTCTGTGATTCTCTGAAAGTTGCACCAATTCTTATTCTTCTGCCTGAGGTTCTGTACAGGTGATCTTTTCACTAACTTGGCCTTCATCTTAATAATGCTCTTCTTGAAAGAAGTAGATGCAGCTCGGCTGATTGCTGTTGTGTTGTTTTAGTCTACCGTGGATTAACATTACAGTTTTCTGTACACAAACCTATAACCAGACTTTTTTTTTTAAGCTCTGCAACAGTGTGCCAGTCTTGCAGCTTTGAAGGCACAAATGTTTGAAATGAAGTTCACTGTGCTCAGAAGCACTGGCTTTCTGTGGGAATTACAAGAGCACTTAGTAAATAATTCTTTTTTTATGATCCTAAGCAAGTTTCTTGCTAGTCCCCTGAAAACAGCTGCAGGAGGTTATCTGTCTCCCTTTGTGCTCCTGAGTCACGTTCAACCTGAGTCATGTTCTCTTCCACAGAAAAGGCTGCAACGTTGCCCCATGAACAAAGGAAACTGCATGCAGAGAAGGTGAGGTTTGGAATCAGCATCAAAATCATTAAAAATATGGTTTTCCTTTCTGAGCTGCAGTTCCCTCTCTTGTAGTATGGTTCACATCTGAAGGACAGTGAGAACAAACTGCTCAGTCCTGAGAAGACTGACTCAGATCTCCCGAGAACTGAATGAAAAACCCAGAATCCAGAACTCCAAAGGAGGCTTTGCCTTCTGGAATTTCTGAAATGAAGGCCCTGTGATCACTGGGGTGGGAGCCAGCGCTCACTGAAGTCAGTAGAAAAGCTTTGATCTCAAGGAAGATTTAATTACGATTTAATTAGCCCAAGTTTTCTGTCACTTAGGCCTCCAACAAATTCTAGAAGTGTCTGAATTATTGCACCACGGTGTGACTGAAATTTATGAACCTCAGAGAGGATTATCATGGAGGCCAGGAACATTGCCAGGCTGAGCTGCAGCTCAGTTTCATTATTTGCATGGTGAACAGGAGGGGAATGATTCTCATTTTTGCATTCTTTTTGCTCCTATTAGGTGGCCAAAGCGTTCTGGATGGCGATTGGAGGAGACAGAGATGAAATTGAAGGTCTCTCCTCGGACGAAGAAAACTGAGGTCTTCTGCAGCTGGAAGCAACAGAGTGATCCTAAGAGTGATCTTTTCCTGCAGTGAGTGTTAATTGCAGAAAGCCCCATTTAGCTTTAGCTGCTCTCTTTGGTTAAAGGATTCACCATATCGTTGTAATGAGTAACACATCCACAACACCTTATGGTTAGAGTGGTTTTGTCTGACTGTTTGTTCTCCCTCAGAGAGTTTTGGATGACGACGTATGCATTTAGAGGAAATAATAGGTTAGTTTACATTTTTCAAATTAACATTTTTATAGTTTCCTCTTTTGAGTTTAAAAAAACAATTTTACTACCAGTTACCCTTCTACATATGGCTGTTGGTTGTTAAACAACTACTTAATTCTAAACATTTAGATGTAGGTCTGTTTGATGTTTTTGTGTAGCTTTATAGCTGACTTACAAAACAAACCAGATTTCTATGAGGCATGAAGAGAAACTCGGTGTGCTGTACCCTATTGGAGATGCTGCGCCGGGGCTGCAGGGTTAATCCTGCTGAGTGCCAGAGCCATTAAAAATGGCCCATAGGCTTTGATTTCTGTTTGTGCTTGTAAGCACGTGGTCCTTCCCTAAGAACTCCGGAGCTGTGCCACATTCCCCAGGTTTCCATGAGAAAGGAGATTTGGGATTAAATGCAATTCAGGCTTCTGCTGCTGGTCCAGGCATGAATTTCCCCACTCAAACCTTCTGCAGTGCATTGCCTCCAACAGGGAGAACGCACAGACCTTCGTGTGGTGAATTCTCACCTGAACATTGCATTTCAAACCTCCCCCACTCACCCGGTGCATTTATTACAGACTTCTGCTCCTGTATGTTAATTAGAACATACCAGAGTACAGGTCCCAAATGGCTGCTTTGTGGTACCAAGGGTTAGAAAAATTCCTTCATCCTCAGCGTTAGGATGTTGTCACCTTCTGCACAGTCACAGGCTTTCTGGAGAACACAGGCATGCACAGCACTGGAACAGGAAGGCACGGTGTGGGGAGATGAGAAAAGGTAAATTGCATCCCTCCTGTTGTGCTGCAGGACCACTCCTGTGGCTGCATGGGGGGGAACGTGTGCTCCCAGGAGTGTTTCCTTCCCTCTCTGTGAAGGGCAGTGTGAAACAGCCTTACTTTGAAGTTAGCTTTTCTAATGTCAGTAAATTTAGTGAGGCCTAGGCAGTGGCTTTCCATAGGATACCTGACAGCTTTGAATTCCAAAGGCACTTTCACAGGGTTCTTGACATTCACTGCCTGTGCTTTTAAGATTAAGCAGAGCTAAGACAAAAGGCTTCTTTGAAGACTGTAAATCGTTCCTGGGTAAAAACTGAGGCGTTTTCCATTCTAAGAAACAGAACTGATGCCTTGTGAGTAGTTTGAATAGCATTTCTCACATCAAGATGGAGCAGGAGCTCCACCACAGCAAAATACCTTTTAAAGAAGCAACATTCCTATTGCAGGGACACCCATACAGGCACTGAAGGGACCTCACCCAGCAGGGCTGCTCCTCCTGCCCTGAGCAGCACCCAGCAGCACCCAGGCCATGCTGTGACTCTGCCCTCTCCTCCCATTTGCTCCTGTTTTCTTTCCTCTCAACGCAGAGAGCTGCAGTAAGGAAGTGAAGGTTGTTCCTTCCAAGTAGGGAATGGTTTTCTGTTTGCTTCTTGGTAGGTGGGGGTGGTTGTTTTTTTCCCCTATTTGTTGTGCAATAGAGATGCATGGCAGAAGTGCAGAGTAAATTAACTGAAGGCAGTGAAGGACATAATGCACTTGGATACTTTATAAAAACAATTTTTATACCTGTGTTTATAGTTTATTTAAGCTGAATAGAATGACAGAAGTTTAGATTCTTTTCCTGTTCACGGGATAGGAGCAGATAACTGCCTTACCCCTGCAGTCAGGTACCAGACTGGGTGCACACAGCCTGCCACCATACATGTGGCAGCAAGGAGAGAATGTGTGAAAGCACAGAGCACACGTGGACAGCACGAGCAGGGTTGAAGCAGAGCAGTGGTGCAGTGTGGGGAGGTGTGCATACTGCTGCTAAGACTGGAGGAAATTTGTACACATTTTCATGCACATCTTACGTACTACAATGGAAATGTGGCTTGTTAGCAGGTACATTCCATGCTTCAAGAAAGCATTACTCATCAAGGTAGGAAGTGTGGCTGAGAGATACTGGAATGGTCCTTAAAGATTCTTTGTACTGCATTTTTCAATCCAAATTTACTTCGCTGGTGACTTAGGTGTTTTTTATTTCCTGGAGAGCCTTCTTTCCTTTTGGCTGCATCATTTCTTTATACAATAGCTGTTACTAAGATGAATAAAAGGGGCATTGGTGGAATTGCAAACCTGAAAGTTGTGGTCTTAGTTGCTCTTTGTGTTCTGCAGCACTGTTTAGCAACAAAAGAATTCCTACCTTGGCTTTACATCCTTGTGTCTGTGTAGGATGCTCCCACTCACAGCAGTGAGGCCCTGCTGGATGAGCCGGGCTGCTCACCTCCATGCAGTTTTGATACTTGTTTTTTTTTGGCTGAGAATTTGAGGTTTCATTTACTATCAGACTTTTATTTTGCTTCAGCTTCCCAATATCAGTGCAGACGAGCAGTCTTTGATTCTGAAATCTGTGATATATTCAGGTGACAGCAGACCTCACGGCTCAGCACTGCTTTACTACCTCGCATTTTGGCAACCCTCACATAAAACCTGGACAAAACCCTTTTATTACCACATTGTTGGAAATCAGAGTGGAAAAAGTATTCTCGTAAATCCTCTGTTAGGAAAAACAACAAAAACAATCTGAATTTCAGTGAAACCCGAGGAGGAATGTTAGGAGTTCACAGACTTTGATCACAGCGCGCCTCGGCTCCATTAGTGATGCTATTTGGAGAATGCCCTCTCTGAGGCCAGCTGAATGCCAGCACATACAGAGCCTTTGTTTCCAGCACAGCACGTGGCATCACTACCTGGCTTCTGCTGAAATTCCTGCTTCAGTGCTGAGCACAGCACAGACACTGCTGGGTAATGAGAGCAGCAGCCACATCCACGACACCCCACAGCTGAGCAGGGGGACGTGAAGGGCTCTGCCACAGGTACAGCTCAGCTGCTGCTTCAGCTCTGACTACAGCAATTGCTAAAGGTGCTGTCCTTGAGTGGCAAAGAGAGAACACAGACCTCTAACAGCAAGGAGCAACAGCCAGAAATACATCTTGGGAGATGAAGGTAGGAAGGCTTTTCATGTAGGAGCACAGTGGAGCCATGCAGCAGCCCGTCCAGGGAGGAAAGTGGAGGAATCAGTCCTTTGAAATCTTTTTCAGGGTTTGTCTGGACAAAATCCCAGCTGACTTCACCTCGTGCTGCAGCAGGCCTGGGCCAAACACGAGGCTGCCCAGCCTCCAGCACAGCCCCAGGTTGGCACCCCGAGCAAAGGGTGGCACGCAGCCACGTCTGACTGCTCCAGCAATTCAGTGACTGAGCCTTTGGGCCGCGCTGTCCTGCTTCTACTCACCTTCAAAACCCGTTAGTTAAAAGAACTGACTGCATTTTTTAAGAGATGCTACTTTTGGCTTCATATTTGTTCACACTGCGCAAAGCACGATGCCCTTACCTGTAACAGATCTTTCATGCCTTGCTGGAAGTGTTGTGCACCTGCAGCCTCTGCTGGTGCTGCAGTACCTGCGGTTGGAAAACTCCAAATGCTTTCAGTTTGTGTCCTTAAAACTCATCTTACACCATCAGTGTTCGCTCACGAACCTTTGTTTTCAAATCAAAGTTTATTAAAATGTCAAAAATAGAACTTACAGTTTCACATATGAAATAAGAGGGCATACATAGTACAGGCCTGTAGTAACAAAATAGGCGAATAATGCTCAACAAGCTCAAGCATGTAGGTGACACCACCGCTCGTTAACGTACAATCTCAGGTTAAGAAAACCTAAACACTACTGCATACATGCTCATACATATCTATCAGAGGGGAACAGTTCCATCAAGAGCGAGGGAAGTAGGCTGCCTCCATGGAGAGAGGAGCAGATGCACCTCAGCAACAGCGGTGCAGACTCCTCGGATCCACGTACCGGAGGAAACATGAGGATGAACCAAAGCATTTACAGAACGGTATGCTGTTTTCTTTTTGAAGCCTCATAAACCTGAAAAGACTGAAGAACACAACTGAAGGGCCCACCTGGGAACCTGACTCACTGCTCAAAATTAAAACAACAGCTCAGGTACAGACTCCTGCTGGAGATGTCCTCGTTTTGCTTTCTTTGCCAGCGCTTGTTGCTCTGAGATGCATCTCTTGTTCTCACGTCAGTAACTGCCTGAGCAGCAGCCACCAGAAAGGGTCACAGGAAAGATTTAACGCTCACAATACTGAATTGCCCCTTCTGTTAAAAGTTATGCATTGGATTCATCTGAATATTCAAGAAAAACAACATAAATACAAGCATGTACATAACAAAAAACATATATTGAATTTCTTAACCATATCGCCCCATCCGCTACGATACAGCAACTAATTATTTCTCCTCCTAGCTTCCCAGCTTATTTCTGATATCCCACCCCTTCTACCTATCCGGTGCCCTGGAGAACTAGGAAGGCTCACAGATGCTTTGTGACAGGGCTGAAGTCCCTCTCTGCGCTGTTCTTCTCGCTCCCTGTGCTTTTTCTCCTTAGCAGGCAGCACGAGTTGTGGATGCTGACACCTGCTCCTCAAGCTGGAGTCCTGAATATTCTTCAACCTGTTAAGTTGTACACGGTTCAAAGTGTGCCATCCTGCAGGGGAAGGGAAACAGTTGCTTCCCACTGTCTGAAAGGCCACCTCCAGCCATTCTGTACTGGAGCTTTCAGGAAATCGGATAAACAGATTTCTCCATCCTTGTGCACCAAATGGAGAGCACTGGATTACTTCTGAGACAAGCTTAATGCAACCTACACACTGCAACTCAGTTCAATACATTAATAACTAAAAAAACCCTCCACAGTCACATAAAACCACAGGGCCATCAGTGTCATCTGCCAGCAGTCAGGCCCTTGTGTACAGCTACACTAAGCAAAAAGATATTGACTCTGCTAGTAAGGAGAATGCATGGAATGCTGGTGAAACAAGCCAACACTACCATCAGCGAGGAGTGCCATCTCACTAGGGCAGGCTGCTGGCATACAGCCATGCTACATATCAAAGCTACTTTCAGAAAGTTTTAGAAAAGAATGGAAAAGCAACACTAAGCCAATGGTGTTGCACCGATGCCACCATGCAGCCCCTTCCCTTCCGTGCTGGGATCCAGAGCTCATCTCAGTTTGCTTTTGCCCATCCAACTCACTGCTGCTGTGAGAGAGAGGGATCACAGCCCTTCCTCGCCTGCTGCGTGGCACAGGGCTTCCATTTGGCTTTCTAAGGTCACTGGAAGCCATAAGGGTTTTATGCATTAGTGAGGAGGCAAACAAAGGGGAGGAGAGGGCATTACCCCTTTAAAGAAGATAATCTCCCTGTTTTATCTAATTGCATCACTAGACCAGCTTCATGCTTTCTATTGGAAGTCATTTACTTAAGGGATGACGGGGTGGGATTAACCAAAGTTTTTATGCATCATCCAAATCCTGTTTCTAAAGAGGCATCTATTAACAGCAGTCAGCAACTCGCTGTCCTTCATCAAATGAAACAGAGGGAATCCAGGTCCAATTCTTGGTTTGGCTGAGGCGATTCCATGCAGACCCTGTACAAAAGCAGGGTTTACTCCAGCTTGTGCCCCAGGTCAGGCTGGGTCCTGCACACACCATGGGAATGAGCTGCCTGGCACCTGAATTTAAGGTGCCGTTTTGGTAGCTGGTGCACAAGACACAACAGAGCCCAGCTTTTGGATGATTATGTAGATAAAGAGGCAAACGTGACTTAAAGGGACTTGAGTAGGAAACCTGGGAGAGTTTTACAGAGCAGATTCTCTCCTCTCACTACAACAGGAAGTCAAATATTTCCACAGAAGTCTGAATAAATTACTGCTTGCAACTGTTGGAAAGCTGTACCTGAAAGCACGTGCTTCATCAGCCCACGACGACAGACATCCCTAGCTAAGCAGCTCAAAAACACTACTTTACACAGATGCTCTTATTGCACAAGTCCATGCAATCAGAGATTTAACTAAAATCAGACACAGAGCAAAAATGAACAGTTAAAAAAAAGTCCTAGAAAACCTCCAGTGCTGTGATACAAGCCATGCTGCACAGGGAAAGCTCACCCGAAATCCTGCCGTCTGTCCCACAGCTCATCCTCTGGGTTCAGAAACAAAACTCTCCTCCGGAGGTCCCTTTGTCTGCCTGGTGAAGCACACCTCTGCTCTGCGTCCACCTCGGGTGCTGCTGATGCCTCGGGTCCAAGCCAGGCGGTGGGGCTGAGGGGCAGAGTGGATGAGCACACCCAAAGAGCCTCCCTGCAGCCCTGGGGCGCGTGGCTGATCCTGGGAAGAGTCTGCAAGGTATCGCAGGGCACGGAGAGCAGGGCTGCTCCTGTTCGTGTCTGGGAGCACAGAGCTCTGCAGGACTGAAGCCTTCACACAAACCACTCAGTGTCCATCGCAGCCTGTCCTTCCCAGAGCCACACGTTGTGTAGATGGGGAGAAAATAAAAGTCCAGAAGAAATTCTGATTATCATTTTCTCCCTTCCCCCTTGTAATAGTTTGGCACAAACGCGTGTGGTATTCCACACAGATGTAAAGAAGCAAATAACCGGATAGCACTGACAAAGTTATGAGACTTATTTGGCAAACTGCAACCATAAAAACAAGTGCTGAGGGGTTTTTTTTCCAGTTGTAGAAGTTGTTTGCCATGACAGTTGCTGCAGGGAAAAAATACTGAACAGTCTGGAGCATGTATATTTAAATGAACATTTTATAACACGTTAATACACTCTCTCCATTTCTCCAGGTGAGAACACATCTCAAAGGATTTTCATTAGATGAAATAATTTTTAAACCACGTTTTGTTGGTGCATCTGAGATGTCCTGGTTCCGGCACGGTCACGTGTGACTGTGGGATAACCTACAGAACTGGGTTTTCTGCAAATGGCAGCAGGAGCCATCTCCAGAGCAGACCTGGGCACCGAGTTCACTAAGCCCCTACGACTTAAGAAGTGGCAGATACCAATCAACACCATGAGAAAACAGAATACAAACTTTCTTTAGTTAATGCGCAGTAATGAAGGCTTAACTTATCCAGCAAGAGCTCCTCACATTCCCAATGTCTGTTCGTGAGCAGCTCTAGTCACAAGTTGCTGCAGCAGTGTCAGAAAGAGCCGTGACTTTGGCCTCTGCTTCATGTAAATCCAGACTGAGACAAGCAGGGCACAGTGGCAGCTCGGGCACAAA